TTTTTTTTTTAACAGGAATAGAATCGATTATGAGGCGTGTGGAAAAGATTAATTCCCCTTTAACTACTGAGTTGTCAATTGGTTCCCAAATTCCACGAAAAAAATATTCTTTATTCTTAAAGGCTGGAATTGCATCATCTGATGATCCTGAACAGCTGCTTATCGCCTTGGAACCAGAAGCAGCGTCTGTATATTGCCGTGAAAAAAAGATGAGAGACTTCGCCAGTGAGAGAGGTGACGCAAATGTATCTGACGTCTTTGCGCGGCCTGGATCAAGATACCTAGTAATTGATATCGGAGGTAACGATAGCATGAGATTTAAATTTGAATATATTTACCCCTTATATATCATTTATTCGCCCTAGTAGTTTTCGAAGGGCTGGCAACATCCTTCGAAATGCAGGGGTAAACTTGCAAGGAACTAGCACTACACATCCAGTAGGAGTGTATCAATTAAGGTCAATATTATATTAAAGTCGCTTTATTGTACACAAATCGGTACAGATCCCTTGGATTGAAGAAATTCCTTGGAATGGAAAGACTTTTACTTCGTGTTCGCCGGACCAGAACTGTTACATATAAAACTTTACACGTATGATAAGACGGCTGCTTAATATTAACAGCTAGTGTTCTTTTCCAAAAGGTGGAACTCTCGACGTGACAGCTCATGAGATTTTAACAAATGGGAATATTAAGGAAATTTATAAAGTGACCGGAGGACCATACGGTGGAATAAAGGTTGACAAAGAATTTGTGTCCCTGCTTGAGAGGTTCTTTGGAACCTCGTTAGTGCAGACTTTCCGTACTAACAATCCAGCAGAATGGCTAGAAATGATGAACGAATTTGAAATGAAAAAGAGAGGACGCCGAGCTTTTGAAGGTGAAACAACGAGGATCCGCATCCCCCGTGCCTTTGCAACATTGGTCTCAGAATACCGTGACCCTGACCTTGCCAGAAGATTCGCAAGTTCCTGTACAACTGATGACGTCCAATTCATTAGGAATGAGTACTTCTGTTTAGGACCTGCCGCCATGAGAAAGTTATTTCAGCCAGTCTTGAATGGAATTGTGAACCACCTCAACAACCTGCTTCAGCATCCCGTACTCCAAGGACTGCAATTTTTCTTCCTCGTCGGAGGCTTTGCCGAATCAGAAATACTTCAGGAGGCAATCAAGAAAAAATTTAGCACACGGTAATAACAGCTAAGAAATAATCCATTTTTATTCCATTTGAATGTAGCCCGAGTCGTGTATCAGTTGTACAACTTTGCAAATGCAAACCAAATTCATCCTCTCCACAAGTCAACAATTTTCTAACCGTTTCCTAGGTGTTAGTCACGTGTAGCTCTAATGGTTTTTACTAGCG